TGTTTGTTACACAGAGAAACTCTGTCTCAAAAAGCAAAATTAAAAAAAAATAATAAAATAGTAAAACATGATCAATTTAACACAAGAACGTGTAACAGCTAGCTGTTCTTTATAACTATACAAAGGCAAACAGAAACATCTTGAGTCACACTGGATGCTCTGGACACACTGTCCTTAGAATCCACACTGACTTCAGCTCTACAGCACTGAGAGTTCAAATGAGTGTAACACTGAGCCATTCCCCAGCAACTTCAACGTGCTCTGCGTTCAGCTACACACTTGCATCATTAAAAAGTACCCTGACTCCATTCCCCGAGTGCTGTGCACTCTGGTGGCAGCCGACTGATCACTAGACCATGAGGAGCAGGGAATGGGGAAAACCGTGTGAGGTTGGCCATTTGGACAGGAATCTTTTCTGGTTGATATTTGGTAATGAATTTGGTTCTGAAATCTCAACGAGAACTACACAATTGCCATCCTGAAACTCCCAAAATAACTCAACTAAAATTTAAAACATAACATCCCGTTTTAAAGACTCGCTGGACTATGTCTGCACTTCCGTGCGTCTTCCCCAAAAAGTAACTTGGTATCGATTTCCCCCGGGGTGGGGCACACTGAAACCAAGCTTGCTCTGGAGTACACTGCTTCATCTGATTACTTGGTGTTGTGCAAGAAAGTGTCACCAAAGTCCTGAGCAATCATGGAGGGTCAATGTTCTTGATGGTTCAGAATGGCACCTTCAGCAAACTGTGGGCTCCTCCTGTACTGGGGACCTTTTAAATCCCGGCTGGCCTGCAATGTCAAGTGAGGACATTGACTGGACTCTGGACTGAGAAGGTCTTAACAGAATCCAAGGACTTCCTCATGGAGGAGCTATCACACATTCTATAGTTGAGCCTAAGGTCAGTAGCAGTAACACTTTCACACGGGCTTGCTGGTTTTTGTTGTTGTTGATAAAATGTAAAAACCTGATCAAGCTTGGAAATGCATGTCTTTAATGCCACAACTCATGAGGCAGAGGTGTGAAGATCTCTGTAAGATCAAAGCCACCCTGGAGTTCCAGGCTATTCAGGGCTACACAGACACTGTCTGAAACAGACAAAAAACATTAAGTTGAAATTTAGATTAACAATAACAGATGAGAAGCTTCAATGTGTAGTTTTGATAATTTAGCTCTTGATCAGAACATAACTATTTTTCTTAACTCAGTGCAGAACATTTTTCAAGAGAGGGTCCAGCTCTGTTGTCCACCCTGGCCTTGAACTTTGTGATTCTCCTACCTAATTATAGGAGAACACTACCATGTTTATTTTTGCTTTCGATGGTGGGGTTTATCAACCAGACAGAGCCTCACGCTGTACCTCAGGCTGGGCTCAAATGTTTGGCACAGTTTCTGCCCCAGCTACCCAGAAGCCGGGATTGCAGGTATGAGCTACTATACCCAGTTAGATGGGTATAGAACCTTTTTATATTAATATAAGTAACCATTTATTTTCTATTTATTTTGTATTAAGGGCTTTATATCTCTTTTGTTTGTTTGGGTTTTTTGTTTTGTTTTCTGAGACAGGGTTTCTCTGTGTAACAGTCCTGGCTGTCCTGGGACTCACTTTGTAGACCAGGCTGGCCTTGAACTCACAGAGATCCACCTGCCTCTGCCTCCTGAGTACTGAGATTATAGGCTTGCACCACCACTGCCCAGTTCTGCTTTATATCTCTTAATCTCTATTTTTGTCATGCTTTTTTTGAGTTTTTGAAACATCACCTTTTTTTATATGTTTAAACAATACAATACAAACAATACTTAATTTTGGGGGTTTTTTTGTGCCAGGGATTGAACTCGTAGCTTGTTCATGCTAGACAAGCACTCTACCGCTGAGCTCCATGCTCCATCCACACACCTTTTTTTAAGATTTACTTTTATTTTGCGGATTCGAGTGTCTTGCCTGTGTGTGTGTGTGTGTGTGTATGTGTGTGTGTGTGTGTGTGTGTAAAGTGCACTGTGTGTGTGCCTCTGGCAGAAGGGTTTCTGCCAGATGCAGCATCTTCCTTTCTAGACGGGTTAGGAGCATCCTCTGTCATCATCTTTGTTCTTTGATCCCAGTGTCAGAGTAGGAAAGGCGGTTTAATTAAGAGCAAGCCACCTTAGAGTAGGAAGCGTTTCCCCCTCTAGAGAACTCTTTGGCTGGGGCATAGAGTGGAGTCTGAGGAGCTCGGAAGTTTTTTGGAACTGCCTCCTCCCAAGATGAGTGACTTGGTGGAGCTCCATTACTAGTTGGTTTTCAAGAGCTATTAGAAGTACAGACCGGGGTTGGGGATTTAGCTCAGTGGTAGAGCGCTTGCCTAGCAAGCACAAGGCCCTGGGTTCGGTCCTCAGCTCTGAAAAAAAAAAAAGTACAGACCTTAGTTGGGCAGTGGTAGTGCACACCTTTAATCCCAACACTTGGGAGGCAGAGACAGATGGATCTCTGTGAGTTTGAGGCCAGCCTGGTCTACAGAGTGAGCTTCAGGACAGGCTCCAAAGCTACAGAGAAACCCTGTCTCTCGAAAAAACAAAAAAAAAAAAAAAAAAAAAAAAAAAGTGCAGACCTTCCTTTTGTCTGGTGACATCCAGCAAGCAGACTCTTTCATCTTGTCTTGTATCCTCTTGCTTGGCCCGGTCAGTCTCCTCCAATGTGTAGTCTGGGCATTAAAGTGGGTCAAACAAAACCTAGAGGGGACCGACTGGTTCTAGGGACGCCTCCCAGGCAGCCAAGTCTGCTCCCTTGTTACCTTGTGTTTGGGGGGTCTCCCTTTTGCTGTCCCTTGCAATAGACAATGGGTACTTCCTTGGGTCGCCAGATGGTTTCTAAGAGTGTCAAGATCTCCTCTTTGTTCTTGATCTTCTGGATGGAAGTGAGGATCCCTCTTTCTCGGTACAGGGCTCCATGTATGTGGGCTGTGGTAAAGGCAGACTGGCTCTCAGTATATATAGTGACAGACTTGCCTGTTCCCCAACAGAGTGCCTGAGTTAGTGCTAGGAGCGTGGCTCACTGAGCTGAGGACCCTTGGTTAAGTAAATGCAACCAAACAGTCCCATCCTGGGTTTCCACTGCAGCCCCGTTGTACCTGATTCTATTCTGGACAAAACTGCTCCCCTCAGTATGCAGTACCTCATCCACCTTCTGCAACAGGGCATTGGTCAGGTCAGGCCTGACAGCTTGACTCAGGTCCATTACCTCAGGGCAGTCACGCAGAGGTTCTTCAGGGACGTCATCTGGTAACAGGCTAGCAGCAGGGTTGAGGGCTGATGTTTTGCAGAACCTGGTATGGGGCTGGTCCAGGAGCAGTGCTTGGCAATGAGTCACCAATGTGTTTGACATCATCTTTCCAGAGTGCCCAACAGGATGGCATCAACCAACTGCGGGGCAGCCAGGAACACTGCCTGCTCCAGTCAGCTTTCTTAACCTCCTTCACCAGACACACACAGGCCACCCAACCAAGATTGGGTCAAACCTCTTGGATAGATAAAGCCATCAGCCGCTTCCAAAGCCCCAGGAATTGAGTAAGAATTTGCTTTGAGATTCCCGGCCCTCATCTGCATAGAGCTGGAAGGGTTTGTTGATGTCCAGGACCCAGGGCTGGGGCGGACACCAGGGTTTTCTATAGGACTTTAAAAGCCTATGTCCTCTGTCTTGATTGTTGTAGACTTTTGGAACTATTTTTAACAGCTAGGACCTAGTCATACCCTAAAGTCCCCCACCCCTTTTTTTTTTTTTTAATATCTGGGACCAAATGCAGAACAAAAGCAATCTGGGGTTTTTTTGTTTGTTTTTGTTTGTTTTTTAGCAGCTGTCCTTAATCCTTTTAAAAAAGGGCCTGGAGAAAATTGTCACATCTTCTTGGTCAGTGTCAAAAGGTAAAATCTGTCATATCTAGGCTGCACTGTCTGGCACTGATCCTTTGGCCCAGCCTGGGGACGGCTTTTCTACTCTTTTTAGAGAAGAGTAGGTTTTGATTTTTCCAATTATACACATCATTGGTTGAAAAGGTAACATAAACTTGTGGAAATGAAAAAACGACTATACTCAATTATCATGATTGCCTCCGATTTGGGGAAATATAAATAATATGGATTTACAGACAGAAAAAAAAAATAAACAAAATCAGGGAGACCTAAGGCAGAGCAACTGGTCCCCATTTTTATTTTTTAGGCCACCATCTAAGATGAGCATGGCAGCCTACTCTCCTCTGCATGAACAAAGGCTGATTCAAAAAACAAAGAAATTGGCACTTTTCATTTTTGTTAATGATGGGAATAGTTTCAGGCATTAAGAGCTTTTTGGGGAATTAAAATGCTTTAAACAACTATCCACAGCTGTAGTTGTGAACAGAGCAGTAACACGTGAACACTCATGGTGGTTATTACATGCAGAAGCCAGGGCTGTGTGCTATGGGGGCCAGGCAAGCTGAGTGCCAGCAAGATCAAGACGGCACCAAACAAGCTCTCGTCCGTCTTCCTCCTCTCAGGAAAGAAAGCATGCCCAGGGCAGAGGAGCCACGGGATAGGAGCAGAACCCACCCAAGAGCCGCCGCTTTCCCCTGGGCAACGCAGGTCTCCAGGCTAGGCCGCTCCCTTTTGGAGCCCTGGGAGGGACTCTCAATGTGGACAGCCGGGTCACCTGTCACTAGTTTTGACAAGGAATCACTAAATTCCGCGAGTGGCCAGTGTGGGCCGAAGAGCCTGCAGGACAGGCTAGGCCACAGACTGCAGCCGTGGTAGCAATGGCCGGCGGAATGACGGGTAAGGACAGTGGAGGATTCGGAAGCCTGGAGTCAGGCACTGGACTCCAGCTGCCGTGTGCTGAGTGCAAGCAAGAGCTTCGGCACCATCCTGACATCTGCAGGAACCTCCGTGCCCATCAGCCCCCCTCTCCTACGTGTGCTATTAAACCCTCACATTTCCAGAGCACACTAGCCACATACGATACATCCAAATGAAACAGCTGCACAACAAAGAGCCAAACGTTGGAGTTTGTTTTATTGCATGACGTTTGCATAAGAAAAAGTAGTCTTGAAAACGGTAAGGCATCATGCAATCACTGATAAGCGGATTTTAACTGTACATAAGATAGGCAGACAATCTAAAATTGAAAAACTATTTCCAAAAAGTACATAAAAGTTTCACATGATGAGCTTTTAAATATGGTTTATATTTGTAGTTTCACATCGTTAAAAAGTGCTTCAAATGTACCGCTGGGAAGCTGATCTTTATAAACGGTGACGGGGTTGATGTGGGGCTGTAAACTGTAAAAACTATCTGTATGGAATTAGAAAGCTAACATTGTGATATTCAAACTTGAATCGGTTTGCAATTCCCACTCAGGTAGATATATTAATAATCTAAAAAACTCCTATTCTGAAACCAACAAAAGTCTATTGAATTCAAGTTATGCATGTTGGGGGATGGATCTCAGAGGCCTGGATGTGAGTGGGCAGGAAGGCTGCTAATCGATGTACTGGGCCATCCAGCGGAAGCCTTCTCCATAGCCTTGTCTTTTCAGCACACTGCACATGAACACTTCCAGAGGCCTGGCGTTCAGCTCCTTCAGCGACACACTGCCCTGGAAGAGAAGAGAGCTGTTAGGTTGGGGTCTCACGGAATAAAAGTACTACTCCCCACATATTGCAGATTCTCCTTCAGAACAAAGGACGTCAATGATAAAGCCATGGATGCTTAGAATCCAAGTCCCCTTACACATGAACTTCTTCTTACTCTACAGTGTCAATGTGGCCAATGAGTGGGAAGGCGTGAGCTTGGGAAGTACACAGAAATAAAACAACCATCTGAGCATGGAGACACGCCTGTTTTTCTAGCACTCAGAGCCTGAGGCTGGAGGATCTCAAGTTCCCGGCCAGCCCAGGCTAGAAAGCAAGACCCTATTTCAAAAATCAAAAAAGAAAAAAAAAAATCCAGATCTTCTTGGCTGACATTTAAGACAACATTCTGCAAGGTGCTGGCATATCCCTGTAATCCCAGCACTCAAGAAGATCTAAGTTCAAGGACAGCCTTAGCTACAGTGAGACCATTGCTTAAAACTGGTAGGGAACAGATTATTACGAAGAAGGCACAGAGGGCTAGGATGAGCGTAGAGCGCTGAGTCCCGTCCTCTGCTGCAGTATTTCCTTGCCCTGAAAGAGCATGTGTGAACTGAGGAGGTTCTGTTTATAAACCATGAAGTTCACTCCATGGATTATCTGGGAATACTTCTTCTTTCTTTTTCCTTTTGGTTTTGTTATAGAGACAGTGTCACTATATAGCACCCAGGATGGTCTTAAACTTGTCATCCTCTTGCCTCAGCTTCCCAAGTACTGGGATGTCAGATATGTAGCATCATGTCCTGTGGCTTTCTGGAACTTTTCAGTACTAACATGCCCCACCCCATGCCTCAACAAATCCACTATAAATAAAAATAGCTCTAGCTAGGCCGTGGTGGCGCATGCGTTTGGTCCCAGCACTTGGGAGGCAGAGGCAGGAGGATCTCTGTGAATTC